AATATTCACACCAGTAAATCTAGCCAAAATGGGCATGAATGATTACTTGACAACATATTACAACTTTTTAAAGTCAGTGGTTTCAGTTCATAGACATATATGTAAACGAAACAGCGAATTTGAGTGAAGAAGCCGTACGTTACCACGATCAAACCGGTGGAAAATTCTCTCGCTTCGAATCTGGTGACGCGCATTTCAGAAGAAGTACGGGACGAAACACCATGAAATAAATTTCTGTGTGCCAGGAAAATTGTGGAGAAGGTTGTTATATGTACCTTTACACATGAACATCACGAATTTCAGAGAAAAAAGGGAAAATCCTACTTTTTGGCCGCATCCGCCATCTTGTTTGTTTGGGTAACGAACGGCGTGATTCCTCCCCTTGGAACTCTACAATTCGTTTTCTAGATGTTTTTTTCTTGTGAGGCACTTTGAAAATGAGCATGCAAGAGGTTGTGGATGGATGTATTACGTCCGTATAGATCCGTGGCAATTCGTTCTTCTCCGTATCAGACCGTACTTATTCGTACTAACCCGTGCTTATACCGTAGCAGACCGTAGTGTATCCGTATTGCCTCCGTCCTGATTCGTGTCGCTCTGTATCAAACCGTGTCGATCCGTAACAATTTGTGACTCTCCGGGGGCTTTTGGTGGTAAATCTGTCGGACTCCGTACTCATACCGTTGTGTGTCCGCACTGGAACCGTAGCGGACTACGGAATTTAGCATTTCCGTAGTAATCCGTGAACGATTAGACCGTAGCTCTTCCATGGCATTATCCATGAATATGTGACTGGGGCATAAGAAGTAGCATTTTTGATGTAAGAAAGAAAAAGAACAGAACAGACGTGAGTGTAGTATAATGAAAGTATATAAATATGTATTTTTTCGTAAAAAATCACAATTTTGTCTTTTTTTTCCCACAATTTTCACAGTAATAGGACCCATTTGCTGGGTGACAAATTTCAGTCTTTTCCCTAAGAAGTGTCATTTTGATACATTATGCATATAAAAAAATTATGGAATTGGGGCAGTCATTTTAGTGGTTACTTTAAATTGCCATTTCACTAGTCAAGATCAAGTTTTTCAGTTTTCTGACCACCTGTATCAAATTCAGCATACCTTAAATGCACTATGACAACACTTGTACTATAACATGCCTCTGGCATCTGATAGAGGGCCAAATCGCAAAATCAGCCCATCTATAATCAAAATTCTTAAAAATCATTTCAAACTGAAGAAAAAAGATATTTTTCTCAATAGATGACAGTTTTATGTAAGTAAAAAGCAACTTAGTAACAGATAGGGAAGTGCAAAAACTATTTTTTATAACAAGAGGGCAATGATGGCCCTGAAGTCGCTCACCTGTATATAGGCCCATGGGGCGGGGCCAGTTTAAACCCCAAGGGCTTTTATTTGAACAAACTTGGTAGACACCCATTAGAAGATGTTTAATGCTAAACATCTAAGGTCTAGCTCGTTGGGTTTTTTAAAAGAAGATTTTTTTCAAGTTTTTTCTTTACACATATAGTTAAAAACAATGACACACCTGGGGCAGGGCCAGTTTTGACCCCAGGGCTTTTATTTGAACAATCTTTGTAGACACTTACTAGAAAATGTTTCATGCTTAATATCTAAACTCTAGCTATTCGGGTTTTTTCAAAGAAGATTTTTAAGTTTTTGCTATACACATATAAGGAAAATCAATGTCCCCCGGGGCCGGCTAATTTTGACCCCAAGGCTTTTATTTGAACAAACTTTGTAGACACTTACTAGAAGATGCTTCGTGCTTAATATCTAAACTCTAGCTACAGTCAAACGTGTATTAAGCGACCGGGCAAGGGAAACACCCAAAACGGTCGCTTAATGAAACGGTCTCTTAAGACAGTCAGCGTGGTATAAAAGTCAAAATTTATAAATGACATCTTTTTTATTCGGTGGGATTGTTTTCAACTTCATTTTTATATAAATGTTGAAAAGTGTACGCTCCGATAATCTAAATGGATGCAAATGTAAAAATTAACTTTCTGATATTTATTGACAAAACAGTTTCAAGATCCATAACGTACATGTTTGACATTTTTTCCAGAATTTTTTAACTTCTCCTATTAGTGAAGACGTTTTCTGTTGTGCATTTTTTTTCATTTGAAATAAACAAACTACATCTATTTGTTACGATTAATTTAATGGCTGATCAAGTTCAAGGTCAATTCAATGCAGTCTAAATGTCAACAAGCGAAGCGTATACACCATCTCCGTATGGGCGGAGCGTTGCATTATTTATCGCGATATTATTGGGATAATACACGTCACGCGTATTCTTAACTTCATTTTGCATAACGCTAAAACAGTAAATGGGAAAATAAAAATTTTTCACAACGTTTATTGTTTGTGTTTTGAAAATTGGGTTGACACTTGTGACTTAACAAAGGTGGGCCGTTCTCTAAAAAAACACAATTACTTGACAGCTAAAAGTGGGTCCGTTTTAATGAAAAGATTGATGTCAAATTGGTGACTATTAGCGGTCGCTGGTCGCGTTGAGCAAAAAAGTCGCTTTAATACATTAAAGATATAAAGAGAGAAAAATGATCGGGATTTAAAAGTGGGTCGTTTTTAAGAACAAAAAGTCCGCTTAAAAGCACCGTGGTTCGCATGGGCAAGTTAGAACTGTAATTTGAATTTTTCAAAGAAGAATTTTTAGTTTTTGTTATTAAACGCGTCTAATCCGAACTTGTCTGGACCAGACGAAAAGTTCGGATTAGACAGGTTTCCGGATTAGAAAGGTTTCTGTGGATTTGAACATGTGAAGGCGAAATAGTTCAAGGAATGAAAAACAGAAAATGCACATGAAATTGTAACATCAATATTTTATTTTTGCAATCAATATTAACTAATATCATTGTTCAGTTTTAATACAGATGAATAATGCAAACATCAACAAAATGCGTACAATATTCACTCCAATTTTATAGCTTTAAGTGTTTCTTCATTTGCAATCACAAACATGTTCTTGTTCTTTTACTCATTTTTACACTAGCCCATCATTTAACAATAACAGAGTAGGGCTGTACCATACATAACCAGTATCACTCTTTTTTAAAAAATGAGTCAATCAGGGTCTGTTTTTTGTGAGGCACTTAAGACTAACTATTTCCTAACTTTAAATCGTTAGCTATCTCTAAAAAGCTAGTGTCATTTTTTCCTGTGCAAAATTTTTCAGTTTATTAGCTAGCAACAGAACATCCGAATATGACATTTCAGAACCAGGAAGTGATGTCTCTGTCGAAATGATTTCTTCCCTCAGGGTCGCATTCAGTCATTTCTGAAGTTCTATAATTGTCAAGCAGAGTTTTCTCCCAATCATCGGAAGAATCCTCAGTCTCTGCATCTTGATCAATGGTGTGAATGTCTTCAATTTGGAGAAGCAAACTGAGCAGCAAGTGTAGCTAAAGGAACATCATCAATCCTCAAATTCATCATTTATCACATTGTTCATTCTCAATAAACACAGAGTCTGAAAATCCTGCTACACCAAAGCACCTTTCTATTGTTGTCACTTTTACATCTTTCCATGCTTTCACAAAACCCACCCTATACAGTCAAGAAGAGTCACTTGTTTACATAAGTTTTGCACGTTTTCTACTTTGTCAATGGCACTAAGCAATGACCTTAACAAGTATTTCCTGTAGATGGCTATGAATGCACGAATTATCCCTTTGATCTAGAGGTTGAAGCTGGGATGTAGTGTTAGCTGGAAGAAATTTCAGTGTAACATTAGTTCAGGCATATATCATGACCATGTGAAGTAGCATTATCTAAAAGCAGTAGCACTTTTCGTCCTTGTTTACGCATGTCCTTATTAACGCCCTTTAACCAGTTCATGAAGATTTCATTTGTCATCCACGCTTTGCGGTTAGCTACATAATTCCACACCCAACGAATCACGTTTAACATTTTTTCAGACACCTTGGATTTTAATGACTTAGCGATCACTAACGGTTTTTTAATTTTCTCCAGCGGCACTACAAGCAAACAAAACAGTGATTCTGTCCTTAGACACTTTAGTTCCGCTTACACTTAATCCTTTCACTGCAAGTGTCTTATCTGGTAAGGCTCTGTAATAAAGTCCTGTCTCATCACAAATTGAAAATGTCCTTTTTATCATATCCACTAACTATTTCTGGAATGCGTTTCTTATAATCCCAAACAGTTTCACTATCAACACCACCACTTTCTCAGCCACCTAAATCCCTTCACAGAATATGTCCTTTTTCCAGCTGTCTAACCAGCCATTTGAAGCTTTAAAATCCAAACGTTCCATTTCCTTAGCATATTCATGGATTTTTCTTGAATCAACACCACCAGATTTTGGAATGTTCTTAGAGCGAAACCTTACAAAACCAATTCCATACCAAAGTCATTTAGCTTATCATATTTGCTGTTGTTGAAGCGAATTTTTTTGGAACCTAGCGTTGTTCTCCCCACTGCTGAGTATAGAAGTCCTTTTTCTTAAGGAGGTCCAGAGACAGTTGATTTCCCGATGCCATATTTTCTGAAAGTGTCTGAAAAAAAAAGAAAACATAATTATTAGAAAATTGATTTTTTTGTTTAAATTGCTAACATTTCACAAAACACATCAATTAACACAAACATTTCATGATTCCATGCGTTTTAATTTTTTACCTTCAGTGTAGGTTTTGGCACCATTTCAGATTCTTTGATTAGATTTAATTTCTCTTCAAGGGTAAGTTCTACCCTATGGCGTTTAGAAGGAGGCTGAGACATGATTCTTTGTAACAATTAAGAGACAAAGTGACTTCCAAGTGTCATATGACAGTTAAATATACGTACCGGTATTGGTCTATAAATTGTTGATTTCTCACCCGAGTCGGCGATTATCCGAATTCACTTGACAGTTTGGCTTAATTGCCGTAATCAAATCCATGTCAATTAAATCAATTAAGAAAGATCAATAGTTATATGTTATGCAAATAAAGAACAACAAACCTTTAATTTGGAACGTGCCGAAAATCAATCAATTAAGCAATTATAGTTGTTATCTAAACAAGCTAAGTGTAATTTTCACACTTTCGCAGATCACACGCTTCACCCGCTAATCAAGCGGCATTACTCTAGTGATCACTTTGGTGTTTGTTTACACCTGCAAAATGTGCGAATTCTATTTTGAAAGGAAGTACGGAAAGTAGGTGTGACAATCGGAAACTTTGTTCGGATCCGGGAGGTTAATTTTATAGTAAAATAAGAACAGAATTTGAAAAAATCGTCCGGAATTCGGAGTAGACCGGTTCCGAATCTGAGAGGTTTTTTACTATAGAAAATAGAATGGATAAAATCGGGACCGGACACTTCATTCGGATAAGACAGGATTCCGGATTAGAAGGGTTCGGATTAGCAAGGCTCCACTGTACATATATAAGGAAAATGAATGACCCCAGGGGCGGGGCCAATTTTGACCCCAGGGCTTTTATTTGAACAAGCTTGGTAGACACTCACTAGAAGATGTTTCATGCTTAGTATCTAAACTCTAGCTATTTGGTTTCTTTAAAAGAAGATTTTTTAAGTTTTTACTATATGCATATAGGGAAAATCAATGACCCCCTGGGGCGGGGCCAATTTTGACCCCAGGGCTTTTATTTGAACAAACTTGGTAGACACCCAGTAGAAGATGTTTCATGATAAATATCTTAGCTCTAGCTTTTTGGGTTCTTTAAAAGTAGATTTTTTAACTTTTAACTATATGCATATAGGGAAAATCAATGACCCCCTGGGGCGGGGCCAATTTTGACCACAGGGCTTTTATTTGAACAAACTTGGTAGACACTCACTAGAAGATGTTTCATGCCAAATATCTAAGCTCTAGCTCTTTGGGTTTTTTAGAAGATTATATTTAAAGTTTTTCTTTTGGTTGCCATGGCAACCAGAGTTCTGCATGGAATTTAATTCTTTGAACAATTTTCAAAGGTGACCACCAAAGGAACATTCCTGTGAAGTCTGGATGAAATTGGCTTAGTGGTTTATGAGGAGATGTCATTTAAAGTAAAAGTTTACGGATGCCGGAGGGACGACAGATGGACGGACGCCGGACGAAAAGCGATCACAAAAGCTCACCCTGTCACTTTGTGACAGGTGAGCTAAAAATTGTAAGAATATTTATTTACCTGAAATACCACTGCCCCTTGCTATTTGTTCATAAAGTTTAGTTTTATTCTCAAGGGCCTTTCTGAAAACAAAACAAGAGCCAGTTGAACCAGGTGATGCTCCCTGAATAGGTTTTGGACACAGAATACCTTTAGTAGTTCTAGAGTTATGTCCCAGACAAAGTTCAAAGTGAAATAATTCCAAACTTAGGCAAGGCAGACTTACTGTTCTTTGCGCTGCACTTCTACTCAATAAGATCTATCTACCAAGTTAGTTTCTTGTTGATACCTCTTGTAGTTTCAAAGTAATGTCCCTGACATCCCGATTACTGTGTATTAATCAACAGAAAAATATCAAAGACACTTCTACTCAACGAGATCTATTTACCTACAAATTTTCATGCTGATATTTCTTTTAGTTTTAGAGTTATGTCCCTGACAAAGTTCAAAGTGAAAACAAGATGCTATGCCACCGCATTAATACAACACTAAATAGTTGTGTAGGAACAGATTTTTTTTTGTTTCTATACAATTGAAGATTGTCATAATGCATAGATCCCTGACCTATCTAATTGTTATTATCAGATTAGTGGTTAAATCTATTGTTATTCAAATAAAAGATCAGAGTAGGAATATATCAATGCAGTTGAGTCTAATGAATTTGGTGGTGAAGGTCATATTTCACACAGCCTAAATTTCATGACTACATCAAAGGACAACACAGTAAGACACTTTGTCAAAGTCTAGGTCAGCTGATATCAAAGTTCACTTTACATCTTAATCTGTGCATATGGTTCAAATTTCATAGCTGTACATCAAAACACAAGAAAGTAGGTCACATCATCAAAATCTAGGTCACCTGATATCAAAGTTCAATTTTACAACTAAAACTGTGCACATGGTCAAAATTTCATTGATGTACATCAAAGGACAAGAAAGTGGGTCACTGTCCTCTTTGGCAAGGCAAAATTTTGACCCAAGGGTTTAATTCAAAACAATCTTGATACAGGTCCACCAAACAACATTTCATGTCAAATATCTAAGCTGTAGCTTTCTCCAATTCAGAAAACATTTGTTTTAGTATCTGTTTTTACTATGTGTACATAATGAGAATCAATGCCCCCGGGCAGGACCAATGTTGATACCAGGGGAAAAATTTGATCAACCTTGGTAGAGGACCTATAAATGATATTATATAGCAAACATCAAAGCCTTGTACCATTAGACAAAAAGATTTTTTAATTTACTATAATTTACTATATGTACATAGTGAAAATCAATAACCCTGGGGAGGGCCAATTTTGACCCCAGGGCTATAATTTGAACAATCTTGGTTAAGGTTCACTTCGCAAAGTCTCATGCCATATATTTAACCTCTAGCCTTTGTCAATTCAGAGAAGAAGATTTTTCAAGTTTTTACTTTATACATTGTATATATAAGGAAAACTATCGCCTCTGGGGCAGGGCAATTTTAACACTAGGGGCATAATTAAAACAACTTTAGTAGAGGACCAATAGATGATATTATATACCAAATATCAAAGCTCTAAGCCTTGTACCTTCAGACAAGAAGATTTTTTAATTTTTTACTATATGTACATAGTGAAAATCAATGACCCCCTGAGTGGGGCCAATTTTGACCCAAAGGCTGTATTTTGTACAATCTTGCTAGAGGTTCACTACACAATGTTTCATGCAAAATATCTAACCTCTAGCCTTTGTCAATTTAGAGAAGATGATTTTTTAAGATTTTACTATATACATATAAGGAAAACCTATGAAGTTGGACTAGTGGTTTTTCACAAGAAGATTTTTTTTAAGTTCACTAATCTATAGAACACACATACATACAAACACACACACAGGTGAATCGCTATATGCAACCCCATCGCAGATGCTGCGATGGCATAAAAATTAACAAAGGGCAATCACTCCAAAATTAGGTGAGGCACAGTTACAGTTCTTGTACACTGTACATCTACCTAATGAAATTTATCTACTTTCAAAGATTCATGTTGATATCTCTTATGGTTTCAGAGTTATGTCCTGGACAAAGTTCAAAGTGTAACAAGATTGCATTTGAGAAAAATGCTATGCCACCGCATTAATACAACACTAAATAGTAGTGTAGGAACAGATTTTTTTTTGTTTCTTTACAATTTTGAAGATTGTCATAATGCATAGATCCCTGACCTATCTAATTCTTATTATCAGATTAGTGGTTAAATCTGTTGTTAACTCAATAAAAGATCAGAGTAGGAATATATCAATGCAGTTGAGTCTAGTGAATTTGGTGGTGAAGGTCATATTTCACACTGCCTAAATTTCATGACTACATCAAAGGACAACATAGTAAGACACTTTGTCAAAATCTAGGTCAGCTGAAATCAAAGTTCACTTAACATCTTACTCTGTGCACATGGTTCAAATTTTATAGCTGTACATCAAAGGACAAGAAAGTAGGTCACATCATCAAAATCTAGTTCACCTGATATCAAAGTTCAATTTTACAACTAAAACTGTGCACATGGTCAAAATTTCATTGCTGTACATCAAAGGACAAGAAAGTAGGTCAATGTCCCCTTGGGCAAGGCAAAATTTGGACCCAAGGGTTTAATTCAAAACAATCTTGATACAGGTCCACCAAACAACATTTCAAGTCAAATATCTAAGCTGTAGCTTTCTCCTATTCAGAAAAGATTTGTTTTATTTTCTGTTTTTACTATGTGAACATAATGAGAATCACTGCCCCTGGGCAGGGCCAATTTTAACACTAGGGGCATAATTAAAACAACTTTAGTACTACTAAATTAGTAGAGAACCCATAGAATATATTATAGAGCAAACATCAAAGCTCTATGCCTTGTACCTTCAGACAAAAATATTTCTTTTTTTTTTACTATAATTATGTACATAGTGAAAATCAATGACTCCTGGGGGTGGGGCCAATTTTGACCCCAGGGCTATAATGTGTACAATCTTGCTAGAGGTTCACTACATAATGTTTCATGCAAAATATCTTAACTCTAGCCTCTGTAAATTTAGAGAAGATGATTTTTTAAGTTTTTACTATATACATATAAGGAAAACCTATGGCCCATGGGGCGGGGCTAATTTTGACACAAGAGGCAAAATTTGAACAACTTTGGTAGAGTACCTATAGATGATATCATTTAACAAATATTCAAGCTCTAAGCCTTGTACCTTCAGACAATAAGATTTTTTTATTTTTTACTATAATTATGTATATATTGAAAATCAATGACCCCGGGGCAGGGGCAATTTTAACCCCAGGGCTATAATTTGAACAATCTTGCTAGAAGTTCACTTCACAATGTTTCATGCAAAATATCTTACCTCTAGCATTTGCTAGACGAAATTTTTTTTACTATAAAGTTTTTACTATATACATATAAGGAAAACCAATGACCCCCGGGGCAGGGCCGCTTTTGACCCCAGGGCTATAATTTGAACAATCTGAGTAGATGTCTACCAGACAATGCCTTATGCAAAATATCTAAGCTCTAGGCCATTTGGGTCTTTACAAGAAGGTATTCTAAGTTTTACTATATGTACATATAGTGAAAATCAATGACCCCCGGGGCGTGGCCGATTTTGATCCCAAGGCTATAATTTGAACAATCTTGGTAAGGGTCTATCAGACAATGCCTTATGCAAAATATCTAAGCTCTAGGCCTTTTGGGTCTTTACAAGAAGTTATTTTAAGTTTTTACTATATGTACATATAGTGAAAATTAATGACCCCCGGGGCGGGGCCGATTTTGACCCCAGGGTTATAATTTGAACAATCTTGGTAGAGGTCTACCAGACAATGCCTTATGCAAAATATCTAAGCTCTAGGCTATTTGGGTCTTAACAAGAAGATTTTTTTAATTTATTCTTATAATTCCTTTTGGTTGCCATGGCAACCAGATTTCTGCATGGAATGAAATTCTTTGAACAACTTTGGAAGCCCTTCACCCAAGGATCAATCCTGCCAAGTTTGGTTGAAATTGGACAAGTGGTTTTTCACAAGAAGATTTTTTAAGTTCACTATATAATCTATATAACACACACACACACAAACAAACACACACACAGGTGAATCGCTATATGCCACCGCATCGCAGATGCTGCGGTGGCATAAAAATGAACAAATGTAACTCCAAAATAAGGCAAGGCAATGTTATGGTTCTTTTGCACTGCTCTTTTACCCAATGAGATCTATATACCTACAAAGTTTCATGCTGAGACCTCTTGTTTTTTCAGAATAATGTCCCGAACAAGAAAAAGCGGATGGACGGACAAAGCAGCAACTAAATGCCCACACTTCGAGGAGCAAAACAAATGAACAATATAATTACTCAAATTTCTAATTCATTTAAATCATTGTCAAAACCATTATACCTTTTTTCTATACTCACCTTACTATTTTGTCAGAAAAAGTTCTAATTTGAAACATGTATCTGGGCAATACAGCATTTTCTTTTCTTTCTAGCATATATGATTTTTAAGTGATAAAAATAAAAGTATATATTTATCTATCAATCAATCCTGTGAAGTTTCATTGAAATTGCTTTAGTGGTATACGAGTAGTAGTTCGGACAATTTAGAAAAAAAATAAAATCGGTCAGTCTGCATATCTATCCTATTAGACTGTTTTAACAAAACAGATATGTCAATCTAACATCATAGATATATATGTCAATCTAACAGCATAGATATATATGTCAGTCTAACAGCATAGATATGTCAGTCTAGCAGCATAGATATATATGTCAGTATAACATCATAGATATGTCAGTCTATTAGCATAGATATATATGTCAGTCTAACAGCATAGATATATATGTCAGTCTAACAGCATAGATAAATATATCAGTCTAGCAGCATAGATATATATGTCAGTCTAACAGCATAGATATATATGTCAATCTAGCAGCATAGATATATATGTCAGTCTAACAGCATAGATATATATGTCAGTCTAACAGCATAGATAAATATATCAGTATAGCAGCATAGATATATATGTCAGTCTAACAGCCCAGCTATATATGTCAGTCTAACAGCATAGATAAAT